GTTGGGCAGCTGAAATTCCTGACCCATGATTTATTTACACAATACTCGGAGCTCTTTAAGGATTTTAAGTGGGCCACACAACAGGAGAAACTGAGAAATCAGTTTGGTAGAGGCAGATCCTCTGGTGCCTTTTGTGAGATGGAACTGATGAAGTGGTGTATTTTTATTTCTCTTTATTACAGATGAATATCACTGATTGCCCATCAGAGTCGAGTATGGAATGGTCAGAGAAGGGGAGGAGAGGAGGGAGGCACAGACAATTTAACAAAATTGGGGTTTATGGTCCGTTCATAAAAAAAAAAAACCAACAACACCCAAACAAACCAGGAAACAAAAGGCATCAAGTGAGAAAAGGGGCTGAAATCAGAAAGAGTGGCTGAACACTCATGAATGCATGGAGAGGGTGCTGCCAGTGAGAATTTGGGTGAGAAGCAGATCAGGATGGGATTTGGGAATAAATAATGTTTACTGTTGGGCAAGTAATACGTGTGTATATATGTATTCTTTTTTTCCAAAGGAAGTTGTATTGGAATATTACACACCTGGAATAAATTCTTTTCCAAATTTCAAGCCCTAATCCTATGAGAAATCATACTCGTTAGCAAGAGTAGTATTCTGGAAGCCATTCAGAAACTAAAATGGAAAGATCATATTCTGAATTTATATACCTTTAATCTGGTCTTCGTGCTGATTTTTCTCCCTTAGTTTTTTGGTTTCAAGTGTTATATCTAAAGGAGGAGTCTGCAATGGTACAGTCTGGTATTTCTTTGCTGTTACTGAAATCAGCATCTGCAGTTTCTCGGGAGCAAATTGCCTCTAGCCAAGTATTGACATTTCTTCTTGTATTAAATGCTGAGATCTACTTAGTGTCACTTTTACTATGCTAAGGGAATTTAGAAAGGACCTGAAAAGGCAATGTAATGTATGTGAGCCTTTCTTACAAAGTATGATTTGTTCATTTGGTTATGGAAAACACTGATTGCAAATATTTCAAAAAATAATGTCACAGTTTGGAAAAAAATTGAGGGCAAAATCTTGCCTTGCTGTCTGAAACACAGAAAGCAGGACTTGTGGGGATGGGACACTGCAAGAAAAAAATAATATCATGATAACAGAATCCTCTCATTCTTCCAGTAGCAAGATACAGGGATAAACTCAGAGTTATTGCCAGTGAAATTGTTCAGGAATAAAGAAACCAAGAATAAAGAAACACATCTACCAAGCAAAATAGGTGATATGAGAATTAAACCCAGGAGCTTCTGACCTGAACTGTTTCCAAGTTTGTGAAGTTTACAAAACCAAAAATTTAGATTCATAAAAGTGTTTTACAACAAAGAGGAGGAAAGTATATGAACATCTCTTGATTGTTTAGCCATTTACAGTATGTCACTATAAATTTGACTACTAATTCATGCATTGTGTATATTGTTCTCATCGCTGATCACTTCTTTGTTGATTATTTCTAACGTTGCTGTGCAACAGTTTTTTAAAGGTTTCTAAAAAGAAAATGAGTCTTTTAAAGCTTGTCATATCTTGAAGGATGTTTTCTTAAAAGAAGTCTAATTGTGAGAGTTGCTAATATTAAATTAAGCTGATGTTTTATGTTCTTCTCTCGAATGTTTATTTTTGTTTACATAGAGGATTTAATTGACTGAATCTCTGCAGGTGGGTTCTTATATTCTTGAGTTACAGGATTTCCGTGAACAAACTGGAGAGAGAAAAAAAAAGCTGGTACCAGCTCAGTGCAGAAAACAGTCTGAGGGGAAAAAAGCATGGGAAACCAAACCAGTAATTTTTTACAGTTTATCTGTAAAATATTTGATGTGGATGTTATTGGTGTCGGGTGCTGTTGGATAAGAGTCACCTGGAACTTACCTGCAGAAACACTTCTATTTTCCTTTTTGTCATCAAGAGAAGGAAGGATCAGTGAAATAGTTAGAAGTTTATCAAGCCAAAGCCATCATAGTAAATAGTAAAGAATGTATCCATATTTTTACTGTTGAATTTCCAGAGTGGACCTCAGCTTAGAAACAAGAATCTCCCCCCCACACCTTTCCACAGGTTTTCTGAATTCCAGATGTGTTCAGCTATCAATAGGCTTCTTTTCCTGCCTGCCTGCCCTGACAGTCCAGTGTGCTCCATTCTTCCTTCCTTTTCTTTTGTATGGATCATCCACAGGCAAAATGATGTTGGTAGTGACACCCCCTCATCTCGTTTTCAGTCTGCAGAGGGATGCAGTTTGGAGAAATCTGATAAATTCCATTGGTGTTTGTAAAGATGAGGAGAATCTGCAGCTCAGACTGGGATTTGTGTCGATTTGCCAAGGACTGAGGATACAACATTATTTAAATTGGGGGCTGTAGCACTTGGGCTCTTCTCTGCAGGTGCTGTGGGAGAGAGTGGTAAAATATTTTAAACTGGAGCTTTATAGGTTTATGAAAGTGTAGGAATTTTTTTTTTTTAATTTGCTATCATACAGATAGAAAATCAATCTTTCATATTCTATGTGGAGTTCTTTCTGAGGTACATGTGCGTAGGGGGCTTTAAAGGAGATTGAATTTGGTTGTGGTTTTTTTTAACATTCTGTTCATATATTATATAAATCCTAAGCAATAAAACTCTCCCTAATCACCTGAAGGCTTCTGAAAAAATTATTCCTTCAGTCATGCTCCCTCAACACATCCATCTCCAGTCCTGATGCATTATCTTTGTGGGCATGTTTGTAGACTGCTGCAAATTACCATGGCCAGGGAAAGAATATGGATTTGGGTGTTCTGCAGTTCTCAGAGATATTCAGAATCTCCAGTGCCTCAGTGTTAAATGTCCCCAGTTAGACCTCACGTTTTAGGTGGAAAGGGATGTCCTGCTGCTGTCAGATTAATAGGAGACCATTAGGTTTTCTTTTTCCTGTTCTTTGGCTTGGGGTGCGGGGGACACTCAGCATCATCAGCAGGATTTGTGTCAGAAATTCCTCACTACAACAGGGACCAAGATGATGATGGTGCCCTTAAACCCTCCTGCTCGTTAATGGCACATAATGGTTCTATTTTTCAGCTTTTTTTTTGTTTTTGTTTTTGTTTTTTAAGTCTTTCACATGGCATAGGGTGTTAAGAGTTTTGAATCTGTGACCTTTCAAACTAACATTTATGATGCATTTACCTGTAATTATGTGGGTCTGGGCCTAATAAGGAAGCTTTGTGCTGCGGTGCTGTGGAGAATGGACCCCAGATCCATAGCACAGTAGCTTTTCCAAGCAGGATATTGTGAGTGTTACAGCAATAATGCAGAACATGCAGAGAACCTTCACAATTCCCCAGTTGGAATTGCAGCCCATCCTCCCATTGCCACGTAAGCAGTGTCAGATCCCTGTACTTATGGAGCCTGGCTCTGATTTGTATTAACTGGTCCAGCTGCTTAATTAGGATGAAGTACGTTCTGATTGGGTTTGTGCTTTTTTTATTTTTGTGTTTAATAATGATTAGCTCTCCTGACATAACATAAACTTGAGTTCATTAACTGCAATTAGGAATTGACATAAACACACTGGACGAGGATGTCCGGCGTGCCCAGTGAAGGTTTTTATTTGTATTGTAAGGTGACTCTCATGAATTTTAATGAAACCAAATTAGGAATTGGAGTTAGCCCACTTAAAAGCAGGCTGGAGATAGGAGAACATGCAGCAAAATGTCAAACCTTTGGGTTTGGTATTCTTTAAATTACTGTGTTGTGGTAATTTAAGGAACTGATTCTAGCTGTGTTTCTTTTCCCTCAGCCAGACTCAGAAACAGAATGGGTATCAAACATAAAGGTTTTTTTATAAGTTAGAAAACCCTTAGATTGTTCCTTAGAGCTTACGGAAAAAAACTAACAGGTTTCATAAATTGTTTTGTAAATCTTCTGTAGGAAGGGAGGGTACTTTTACTTGTCTGAGGATTGATAAGTTGTTGGTGTGAGGTTTGGGTTGTTTTTTTTTTTTAATAAATAAATGTGCTAAAAGCCAATCAGAGAGGAGATTTGTGTTGTTTATAGATGTTTTGAAGGAAATATCTGTCCTTACAGACACAGGCTCCAGCATAATAAGTCATGTCCCTGTTAGGGTGGAGGGCTGGCACTACCTCTGTCCTCTCTCTGAGATGTGGCAGCAGCAGCAGCTGCCTGAAGACCAGAATCAAAACTGAGAAAAAGAACAACCCAGTGAGACTTCCCAAATCCTCACTTGCATCCAGCAGATTGTATTTCAGGAACATAATGAAAGAAGAGGTATCATCATGTATAACCTCTTTGGGTGGATTAGAGGCTCGTTCTGATCTTGAACACTGCTGATAACATGTGGAGTGGTATTGGAAGCTTCCCATGGGCTGTTCATCGAGGAAACCCAAGATTTCCTCACAGAAGTAAAGCCTCAGTGTGCTGAGAGCAATGAGTGCTAGAGAATCATTTTCATTTTCAATATTTGCAGTCCAGCCATTCCCTATCAAATGAACACAAAGGGAGGGAAAGTGATCTCGACAACAACAGTGTTGTTCTAATCTGTTGGTTAATGGTGATGAGCACATGTTTGGAGGGACTTGTTGAGACACCAGATGCTTTTAGCTTTGTATAATCCTTATGTGCCCCAAAACTTTGAAGCTTTTCCATTTGATTATGCAGGTAATGAAGTGGTGACTATTTTTCCAGGGTAAGAAGGAGCATGGCATTTAATAAACCCTAAACTCTTTGTTTTCTCGATGTTAAATGTGGTATGGAGAGGAATTATATAAAGGGAACTCCAGCTGACTTTGTGCTGTACTCTTGAGTTTTTAAAAGGATTAGGCAAAAAAAAGCAACTGTTTGCCTAAGCTGCAGTTATTTGTTAGATTGTGTTTTTTTCCCAGAGATAACAGAACGGATGGGTTGGGAAAGCAAATTTGCAAATCGCTCCTGTGGTCTAATTTAATTGAACCTGTGAAATGCACAGTGGTGAAAAATAGCTAGCAAGTAATTTACTTTTATTTCTCCAGACACTGGAAGCCATTTTGAACTTTAAGTACTCTGGTGGACCAGGACACGTGGAAGGGTATTACAGGAACCTCTCACTGGGCCTTCATGTGGAAGTAGAGCCGTCCGTGTTCTTCACCCGTGTCAGCACCCTGCCAGCAACAAGGTAAGCCTGGCCTTGGCTCTTGAATATTTGACTCATTGGCTCTGTTATATTGGCTATAACTTAAAGACCATGCTGGAAACTTTCAGAATCATCAGCAAACATGTAGGTAAAGAATTAAGTGAACAAGTTTTCAAGACTCCTCCTTTAGGAGTTTAACCTCCTTTAAATGCAGACTATGATTAAAGCAATTCACGTGCATTCAGTAACTTCTGAGGTTCAAGCATTTTAGCAGAGTCAGGATATCTCATGTTTACTGTAAAATTTTATGACTTCTTTCTTGGCAGTTGTGGTGTGTTGTGCGTTAGGGCTTTTGTGTTTGTATAGCAGAATCTTACCCAAAATTCACGTGTAAATGGTTGTGTTTGAATGTGAGAAATAAATTGTGATGTCTCTGGTATTTGCTTTCTCTTGAAAGTCACAGAGCAGTTTCACATGTCATAGTGAGTTTTAAAAGTCGTGGCAACACGTGATGGTGGTCAAATGCCACGATCACAAAAATGTTTGCCTAAAATGCATCAGCCGCTGAGTGCAGTCAGTTTTAATAATTAGCGGGATTATTGTTAAAAAAACCCCAACCTCTGTGCATAGTGGGAGCAAGAATTTTGTTTGATTTAAATTCTGAGATTGTTTCAGTGCAATTGTGTACTGCAACGCTGATAATGATAGCTGAGAGAGAACTTACTTGATCCAACAGACTCCTTCTGGGCCTAGAACCTTTTCATGACAGACTTCAGAAATTCAAAAATAGGCAAGAAGGGAATGTCAGGGAGAATATTAAATTTTCAAAGGCAAGAAGTGAGTCACCGGTATCATACCATGGCAAAAATGTCCAAGGATGGATGGACAGCTACAGAGCCTGCAAAACACAAAGTGTTTCTTTGTTCCTGTGAACAGAAGTAAAGCCTCAAGGAAACTTTGGGGCTTGAACATGAAGAAGAGTGGACAAGTTGGAGAAAGTCTGGAGCAAGAAGAGTGATAAAATGTGACTTATGCTGAAGCATATGTTTGAAGAAACTCTTGGTCTTGCTGAAGGAAAGATGACTGACAAAGGAATGGAATTTTAAATCCTGGCACTGCCAAGAGGGGTCAGGTTCTGTATTTCACAGCAGATACTCAGCAAATAATGACCTTTGCAAACAGCAAGGGAATTTAGGGTTAGACAAAGATGATGAAACACTGAAATAGTTTTTGTAAAAAATGTTTTAAAATGAGACAAATAAGATTTTTTTAATGACTAGATTGTCTCTGTTTCTTATTAAAAAAAAAACCTAAACCCATATCACTTTATTGGTAAGAAAGTTTGGCCAGCATTTTACTGCTTGAAAGTGTAACGTAAGAGGCATTGTTTTATTCTTTTAGGAACTACTCTAGTAAAGCAAATTTAATGCTGCCTTCAAAGTCAGAACATGGTATCTGGAACAAGTGTTTGCTAAATTCCAGGACCCCTCTTAATGATGTTCAGAGTTTCCTCCCTGCAGTGGCACATTCTTAGGCCTTTGTAAGGTTGTCGAGTTCAATAAGTGATCTTTAACAACCTGGAAGTACCACAGCATCTGTTTTTAATAGTTGTGAAGAAGAGTCATTACACAGGTTTAAAATAATCAGTTTGCATTTGTTTTTTGAATGCACAGTCCCCTCCATTCAGCGTCAAAATGTGCTTTCTACTCTCATTATGTGTATTTTTAATGGACAGTGCTACTGCTCTTTGGTTCACTGCAATTACCTCCACATAGTCACGGGTTACCTTGGGTGTGAAACTGCAAACCTTCCACAAAAGCTTCAGATCCAACACTTTATTTGCCTTTATTTGACTCCCTCTTGTTGGGAAGTTGCCCTTTTGTGCTCGGCTTCCCCAGCTGTGTTTTGTGTAGGACAGATCCTACCCCTGCCCTGTCAGTCTGTTCCCGGGAATTTACGATGCGAGCAAAGCGTTTAATCCTGAGATCTTTAAAAACAGATGGAGGTGCTAATTCAAAGGGAGAGTTTCTGTGTTCAGCAGGGAGCAGTTCCACACGTCCTGTGGCAGCTGCTGCTATATATAGTGGCTCCAATCCAGCCAAGTGCTTCAGCTCACATTGTGTGTGTTCACTTCATTCTTTGCCTGTTCATCAACTGATCAGCATTAAAGGCGGTGGAAACTGTCAGTGATTTGCTGATTGGAGATGGAGTTAAAGATGTGACTGCTTTTAAGGCTGCCTGAAAAGCTTTACTGAGTTGGAGAAAGATCCTGCAGTATTTATACTTCTCTCAGAAATGTTTTCTTGCCAGACCTGTCAAAAAGCTATTGATTTTTATTTTTTTTATTACATTAGATGTGTTTTGTTTGCTAAGTCATGAATGGTTTTAAGTTCTTCTTATCTCCTGCTGCTTGTTCCATGTTATTATCTTTAGTGATCTGTAACACCATTCCTTTAGTCTTGTTCATTCCAGTGTAGATTCTCCATCAGAAGAAGTCATGTGGCATTATAGTTTAGAGAGAAAAATAGCAGAAACATGTCACCTCCCAATCTGCTAAGGATAACTGTTATCATTAAATAAAGCAAAGTTTGCTTGTGACTGTTGGTCATCTCTTCCAATATCTGACACTCAATGACAGCAAATTCTAAGTAAATTTTTTTACTTGCTCTGTTAAAAACTGAAATCTGATTCCCTTTTGATTTACAGCTGAGACTTTGTTGCTTAAATCCTGTCTGAGGTGCTGGGCTATGTTTGTTTAGTCATTACAAGAAATTGTATTTTATAATTTAGCTCCTCAGTCATCATTTCAGAATGAAAGTTATCATTTCTTTCATTATCTGCATTAAATTTTTTCCCTTTCTTTTTCATTTTTGCCATTTTTATTTTACGTTTTTAGCTCCACAGAAAGAAGAAACATTTGCTTGCTTGCTAGCTCCTGGGCTCAAAAAGTCGAAGCAAACTAAAAGAACTTTGAGCATTGATTCCTCCCTTAGGCCTATAATGAAAAAAAAAAAAAAAACCAGGAAAAGTGTTAGTGAAAACACTTTTCCCCCCATTGTAGCATGAAGATTATGGTTTATGTAAAAGCCTTCCAAGCTTAATTGGTGTTTCTTTATTTATCTGCTTGAGTGTATCAACCTGTGCTCGTTCAGCTGCCTCCATCCCAAGGGGCTGGCAGAACAGCCTCGTGCTGGGAAATGATGTCCCTCTGGCCATGGGACTCACATTCCTTGGTTCTGCTCTTTCCTCCTTGCAGGGGTGATTGTCCCACGAGGCATCATCAGAAATACGGGTTTTTGAGGCAACCCTTCAAATAAGGTATAAGAGATAATGAGTTCATGTTCAGAGTTCTGTCCCACAGCTCAATGAAGTCTTGAAGGGCTTCAGGGATCTGCTTGTTAAAGCCTTTGTTTGTCGTAAATCAGAGATAAATCTATAAAGTAAAATTGTATTAACTGTCTCCTGTAATTGGCCAAGCCATGTTAATTGATTTGGCCCCAAACCTACTGGTGTGATTCCAGGCCTCAAAACAGTGCAGTTACCAAGAGATCTGATGATCCCAGACTGTCACTGGAGGAGTGATGCACATTTTTTGTGTGATACACAAAATATATCTGTTGTTTCTCTCAAAGGTGTTATCTGCCAGTTTTGGTGGGCACTGAATGTCCCTCCTTGTTGCATGGAAAAATGCCAGGAAAAAATATTGTGCATCAGCTTTTTTGTTTGAGTGCTTTAAGAACAATCTGTTTAGTGTGGAGGAAGACTAAGTGATCAGATATTGCTACATGGATAAAATAATTAGTACTACATTCACTGTTTTATTAATTAAAAAAAATAATAATAATAAAGCAAGTAAGAATGGGAACTGGGCAAATTCAGCTCAGTAAAACAAACAAGACTCCTGTGCAATATACTGATAAATCATTAGAAAAATCTGTCAAGCAGTGGATTTAATAAATATACTTCAATGTTCTCAGGACTGGATGTCATTCTAAAATATATTCCTTTTTTATACACACATTATTGAGTTCAGTATAGACTCCTCACACGTGGGAGGTTACACCCAGCAGTTAAATCATCCTGGTAACCTCGACCTCTGCTGGTGGTGTAACATTGCAGTGGGTTCATGGAAGGGCAGCAGAAAGGAGCTTAGAGATTGAGAGAATTGATTTTTGAGATCAAAATGTTAAATATGTATGGTTTGGCACAGGAAGATGTGAGAACATAAATCTGCAAATATTTATAGATGTGCTGGGAATATTTAGCGTAATTGAAAAGGTTTGCAACTGGGAGAGAAGTCAGATGAGGACACTTCTTGGAATATGCGAAAAGACCTTTTGCCAGTAAGATGGATAATTTGACTTAATCATCTAAAGTTAGTCTTGAAAACTTCATTTTTAGATAGTTTAATGAAAATTAAATTAGAGAGACCCTTATTGAAGACGCAAGAGCACCAACAAAGACGCTATTCTTCTGTGTTGCTCTTTGTGTTTGTCAGTGGATCTGGGAGAATAGGGTTGTCAGAGGCACAGCACTGCCTGCCATCAGTGCCAAAGCTGCTCTTCCCTTCCTGATGTCCTGTTTTGAGAAGGGATGTTCAGAGACAACAGAAGAGAAGCAAAAAGAAAAAAAAAAAGCGTGAATGTGAAAATACTCCATGATTTCAGTTGATGGGGAAATGAGAGGAGTCAGGATGCAGAGAACTTGCCAACCCACCCGAGGACTTCTTTCTCAAAGTGTCTTCAAAGCTAAGCTGGAGACAGACCTGCAGTGAGATTGTTTGCTGGAGCAGCTGCACTGGGGTTTAGTGCTGTGTTAAATGTCACTGAAGAATATCACTGTCACTTGGAGGAATCTCAATACCCCTGAAAGAAATTTCTAGATCACAGGGTAACTGTCACTTGCCTGAGGTTCCCATGGCCCCAGTTTTGTGACTGGTTTTGGAACCATAAGTGGCATTGTGAGATTTTAAAAACACAGCACAGTTCAGTGTGTCGCTGACTTTTGTTTGCGTTGTATCCTGAATTCTGCAGTAGACAGAAATTCATTTATACAGTAGATATTTAAGACACTGTTAATTCACTTCTTGATAAAACCAATAAGATTTCCTAAATATTATTGTTTGATATCATTATTGGCTTAAATCTGCATGTTATTCTGAGATGTTCAAATTATGTTACTTGTAACTGCAGTTTTTACCTGCACAACTTTCTGCTCTGTAGAGTTTTGTGTCACTTGTGTAAGGAAATCTTGAACATGAAACTTATGAAAGATTTCTCACAATCAAACATCATGAACTAATAAGGAAGATCATAGAAATGGAAAATGTTTGGATGCTGTGATTTTTTAGTGTTCTTCCCTTTAGGCTCTGCTTGTTTGACCCAGCCTTATATTTCCTTTTCATTAGCAGTTGACATGGTAGATGGAAAGAAGAGTAAAACCCTTCCAAGAACTTTTGTTCTTTATCCTGTTGTCTTTGTGGTCCCACTGGTGCTTTAATTCACCTTCATTTAATTTGGACTTCTAGCATAATGCAATAATTTGTGTAGAATTCTGTTCAGAAAGGAGAGATGTTGTGGTTTTGGTGTCTGCTTTATTTTTCTGAATAGTTTTATATTTCATTTCATAGGGAAATATAAAATATAATTTATGAGATCACTTTAACTGGGTGAGTGAGAAAGTTTGGAGGGTGCATGAGGAGGTGATGGGAAGGTGGGTATATGGGAGATGAGGTTTGCATGGTACCATGGTGTATTTTTGTCCTGCATCTTCCAGATCAGTCCATGAAGAGTGGATTATTCGGGTTTTACAGAAACAGGAAACTCTATACTAATTCATATTTTTCTCTGAAATGCTTCTGATCCCATAAGTTTAAGGGATAAAACCAGATGATAGTTTAATATGTGTTTATTCATGATACCATGATAAACCACAAAACCAACCCACCCAAACACAGACTGACTTCAGGTGTGTTCAGCCCAAACTGTAAAAAGGAGCTAAAATGACCCCAAACCTCTACAAGGAACTGGGAAGCCACGGGTGACCCTTCACATTTGTGTGAAATGTTGGAGTTCTCTGCTTTCCCAGGGGTGACTTAACTAGACTTAGAGGGCTCAAAACTACCCTCCCCAACCAACTAAATAGTTAGTTTGAACTATGGTATGGTGGTGGATAGTTTGGAAGAGGGAGGAGGAATTGTGTGGTATGTTGTGTGTCTTTCCCAGTTCCAGAAGTCGGTGGCTTATGCCTGGTATTTCTCAGCCAAAAAGGTCAGTAGGCCGTTATGGTTTATAATTTAATCAACTTTAGATCCAGTTATTATTTTGAGTGTTTTGTCTTTTTTTTCGTTTCTTTTTCTGTTTTTTTTTTGAAGCTCACACACTTTGAATAAAAACATAATTTATTTAGTGTTGAGGTCAGCACTAATGGTTTGAGATTTACTCAATTGCCTTAAAATCCTTAAAACAATAGGATGTTGGAAATTCTCTGCCTCTTTTAAGCAACAGATTGATGGCTGGACTTAAATGTGGGAGTTCAGCAAAGTCTCCTTGGGGTTCCTTTATCACACTTGCATGAATGTGATTTGCCTCTCAAATCTCATTTACTGACACTGAGATGGGTTCTTCAATTCCTGTCTCACAAAGGAACAAATGGCCTTCTGGAAGTTCCCTTGTAGGGAAAATTGATATGAATTATTTGGCTTTCTTGTTAATACTTTGTCTTCCTGGAACTTTCCTAACTCAGCATCAGGTCTACCCAGTCCTACTGATTGTAGCATGTTAAAAATAAAATTAAAAAATTCGAGTTTTCAGATCTTAAGCAAATTACTCTTTAACAATTTGAGTGTTTCTTTTTTTTTTTTCCTTTTAACTTTAGTTTGATGTTACCTCTAATTTTCCAGAGCTTATGCTTTCTTGGTGCTTACTTGGATGCAGTTTCCAGTATTTGAAGCTTGCTGTTTTAATTCAAATATTTTTATAACCTTTAATTTTGTTTGGTTTTCAGTGCTCCAATAGTCTCTTGGATACTGTCCTGTATTTACTGTGAAGACCTAATGCTGCCTTTTTTACACTCTTAATGTTACCTTCAATGTCTTCATACTAATTTCTTATTCCTCCAAGTTTTCAAAGTACTGTAATAATTCTGTAACTTCCAATTTTTACTTTTTTTACTGAAAGATTTCCCTGGAGAATTAACTTAAAATTGACAAGGAAAGAATTATTTCTCCTACACGTCTATTTTGTGTAGTGTTTGAAGAGGGAGGAAATAAATGTCATAATGATGAATAATTTCCAAGGGTTCATATTTGGGAATTTTTTAATATAGGTGTTGGTGTTTAGTCCTGAAGGGCAGCTTGTGTAGGTCCTTTGTGGCATGAATTGTTTTATTGGCAAAACTTTGGTACTGCTGCCAAGAGCTATTGCAGGAGGCTTGAATGTTTTTTTGTTGTGTGTTTTTTTTTTTTTTTTTTTTTTTTGTTTTGTTTTGTTTTGTTTTTTTCCCAGACAGTTGTTTGGGTTTGCTGTGGCATAAATAACAAATTCTTTCCATATTTAATTTTGTAAACATGACCTACACTAGAAGTCTCTTTGAGATCATGACCTTGTATCTCCTGGAGGGGCAGAGGTTGTCTGTGACTTTGCAGGTCTCGTCCCACTCTCCCAGTGACGAGATAAAACCTTTATTCCCCCTTTCTTTTCCACTCCTTTCCACTAACAGGATTGCTGCTGACTCGAGCCCTGCCCTTCCAGTTATTTCTTCCTCGTGGGTTGTTCGGGGAGGGAGTTTCTAACAAGAGCCATGACTCCTTATTTGTTCTAAATTCTTGAGTTCTGACATCTTTGCTTCAGGCCCTCAACCAACCCTCCTGCGTTCTTCTCCACCTGCAGTGGTCAGCGGGGCTTTACGCAAAGAATGTGAAAAGGGGATCTCTTGATTTTCGGAAGAGAGTCGTGTCCTAAACCAGAGAACCTCTTTCCAAAGTGGAAGAACAGTCCACTAAAACTCTTGGACACCTCCTGAGTTTTATTGCCTGTGGAATGGACACTTCAGTCCAGCTGTAAATTATTGTGCAATGGGATGAATTGTCTTGGTTGCCCCAGACAGATGACTGGAGCTTGAACATCAGATTGTTTGAAGGGTGGCTCTGACAACTCTCGCCTCACCACCACACTCCTCTTTCTTCCCTTTTGGGGATATTTGTGGGTTGTTCAGTAGCTTCTTAGGAAGCTTTGAATTTCAGAGTGGACTGATGAGGCATAATTGAAACTGTATCATTGTATCTGGCATTTTGGTATCTACTTCTGATAATGTTGTGATTGTTTTCCATGTTTACTGTATTAGAATCGCTCAGTGCTGCCCTTTCTGCTTAGTTTCACAGGGAGGAAAAAGTTATAAATTAGAATAATTTGTGTAGAATAATAATTAGAATTAAATATTAATTAAAGAATATTAAAATGTAATTTAATGTTATTAACCGTCAAATAAATGAGCACATTAACAATGATAATTAATATTAATTCAATTAATAAGAACATTAATTATTATAAATTATATCACTTGGAATTAAAATGTTTATTAGAATAAACCTTTGCAGTAACATTTCCACCCTGTAACTTTGTTAGTCTTATTTTCTAAGGTTACCAGAAATGAAGTTGGTATATTTATACCAAATGCTTCTGGGGAAGTTTGGATTTGAAGGATAGTAGCTGACAAATAAAAGGTTTTCTGTGAGAGGTACCTGTGTTTGCCTGTCTTACAGAGGGGAGAGAGTTGTCCTCTCTCTGTCAAGAGTGGTTGTTCTGGTGGTTAAATGCTCTAATTGTTGCTTGCTTTGGTCTTTGGACAAGCCAGTTATTGTAGTAAATGGAATTGCACCTTGCAGTTTAAATTTTTGCTCATAAATTTGTTTCTTAAACATGTGATGCCAAGGTGATTTAAAATAATAAGACTTTTTGGATGTGAATGCTCGAAGAACTGAAACATTCTGTGGCTTTTTCCACTGAAGTGAATCTGAAAGCTCCAGAGTGAGAAAATATATATGTATCTAGAGAGTTGATCAATGCTGTGGGGCTTGATATTTTGCAGGTCATAATTGTCATGGAAGTTCTCTTTAGGATGTACACTTCTGTTTAGTCTTATTAAAAAAAAAAAAAAAGAATCCAATTATTAAAAAAAAGAATTTTTAAGATAAAACAGTAAGATATTCTTAAAATCAGAGTAGGATATAAAACCTGTATGGAAATGTGTGTCTTTTTAAAAAATCTATATTTATATTTGTTTATAAATATGAATTCTGATAGACATGTAATAACTCAGTGCTGTATTATTGAATTTGTGCTGTTCTTTTTTTTCCCCCCCGATCTGAACAGCACCAGGCAGTGCCATCTACTCCTTGATGTCTTCAATTCCACAGAGCATGAGTTGACCATCAGTGCTAAGAATAATGAAGATTTAATCCTGCACGCTGGGGAGTGTCAGCGGTGAGTGTTCCCAGCATTAAACCCCGGGCCCTGGGTTTAACCCTGCTGTTTGTTTATACACCACTGATGACATTTGGAGCCCGTTTTCCCTTTTAAACATTTCACGCATGTCAAAGGATACGAGTTTTGCTTTCTTTAAGGTGGATCACGAAGTTTTGGCAGTACCTCCTGTGAATTTATTTTGGCCACGAGTGTGGTAGTACTGAAAATAACAAACTATGAACTAGTTGGCACTGAGGTGTGCAGCTCATTGAACTTGCTTTTGTAGAATGTTTTAATATAATTTTCCTGTGCTCTCACTGTAGTTCTGGTGTTAAAACCCGATCTCAGTAGTTCGTTATCCTTTCCCAGTTTTAAATTTTCTTTCTATGGTTCCCCAGCCCTTTCATCACCTTTTCTACAAAGAAAACTGCAGGAAAGAAAAATAGAATTGGGGAAAAAGCAATCCCAATCTCAGTGGGAAAATATATTTCAGATTAAGTAGGCTGTTGTGAGTATTGATTCTTACAACCCCACTACGGTGATGTAAAGCTCATTTTGCAGCTAACTAGAACCATTATTTTTCATAATATATCTGCCCAGGATTCCTGCTGCTGGCTCTACCCTAAATGGCTTGGTTTATCTTCTTCAGGTGGTCATTACATCTAGACACCATTTTCATCTTAAAAAAGAAATTTTTTTTTTTTTTCCTAAAGATGAAAATGTGAAAAAGGGGATATTTATTTTTGGTCCTGTGCTCCCTGCACCGTTGTCTTCCTTGGGAGAGTTGTGCTGCTCTCTGAAGTCACGTCCTTGATGAACTTCGTTAAAGGGAGATACTCTCATGTCTTCAAGCCTCAGAGTGAATATTGAATCCACAGTAAACCCACACCAATTGCAAGGAATGCAGTTGCCAAAAAGAGCTATAGAATAGGTAACAGTGGCAGTAAATTGGGAATGGTTTTTGCCTTGGCGACTCCCAAAGTTCAACGAAGAGGAAACACATCCACTCAAACCCAGGTTGAATTTTCTCAATTTTAATTTACCAAGGAATAGACAAAAATATCAGTAACATACAGTGCTTGTTACTTTTATTTGGAAAGAATTGGCTTTTTCCTTTTTAAAAAAGCAATCTGGTCACCAAAATGTTCTAGTTCTTGTCTGTATTGTTTTGTAATGTTGTTTTTATGCCTCTTGCTTCCTCCCATTATTTTTGTAGTTGAAATTTTTCATTCCCAGTTTTTGGAAGAAGGTGTAACAAATAGAAATAAATTTAGAAATAAGATTATAAAATTCCTTTGCATCCCCTTGATTGAATTACTTTTATTTTCCCATGGACTTAATAATTCGAGCTTCAATATCCTTAAATCATTATATTATAAAAGATACAAACTCTTTCAGTAAGCCTTCTGAAACAGTCATTTACTAAGGCAGGTTTGGTAGTTGTTGCAAGTATTTAGACCTTTTAAGGATGAGGTTTTATTCTTATTGCAAAGTAGCTTTTTTCCTGTTGGTTAGAAATTGCACTGAGTTTTCTGTTGGTTTTAAATTCATTTATTATGTATTTCTTGAAAAATAATTGCTTTTAATTGTAACAGTATGTCTATAGCTCATATGTTGCTCAGAGTTTTAACTTCTATTCTGGTGGATCTACTACGGAAAAGCAGGGCCTTAAAAATTAACTTCCTCCTCTTAGAAAAGGCATTTTGTTACTCTTACCAAAAAAAAAAAAAAAAAAAAAAAAAAAAAAAAAAAAAAAAAAAAAAAAAAAAAAAAAAAAAAAAAAAAAAAAAAAAAAAAAAAAAAAAAAAAAAAAAAAAAAAGAGAGAGAGAGAGAAATGTTTTCCATTTTCACCACTTTTTAACCAATGGTTCTAGATCTTTGTTTTATAACCTAGGAAAAGCATTGTCAGGAATTCAGGAATTTGCATTTGAAGCAAGGATTTAAATCCAAATATACAATGTTTTTCATCACGTCCCACTCTTACCTTCTCCTTTTATGAATTTTTTTTCCTTTGGACATTGATTTTTTAAAATATCTGATTAATATTTAAAGAGAGGCTTTTCAGTTAACTTCATTTTCCACCCCCACTTCCCTGTACCTTTTTGACTCCTCATTTTTAATGTTCTCCTCATTCCAGCTCTATTTAAATCATAACTTTTTTTGCCAGCTTTGGCCACTTCCACTTCTTTTTGTAATTTACTCTGCCCCCATTCATCACCACCACTGGGAAATCTCCCCTTCTGACAAAGTGAAGGGAGCAGGAAATTGTTTTCTTCGTTCCTGTTGCTATTGCTGGAGACTGAAAGTGTTTTCCTATTCTCTGCCCACAGACCTCCAGAGGAGGATGATGGTGTATCCTCCTCCCTCCCCCCTCTTTGCTTCCCACTTTGGATGCTTAGAAAGTCCACGCAGGGCAATCCCTGGGATCCATCTTGTAGTATCCGTATTACCTGGGGCATTCCGACCCCCTCCTGTTCTCTGGCTTATTGGTGTTTAAGTAAAATGGATAAAATATGTAGAATGCTACGGAATCTTTTGATTTTAAGGTCTGAAGTGGAGTTTGCTTCAACCAACTTAGAGACAGGGCAGGAGCAGCTGCAGGAAAAAAAGGCTATTATGCTAGTAAAAAAAAAGTGATATCCTTTAAAAGACCATTTGGAAAATAGCTGGCTTTTTCTGCAGTAAGATTATTCTACTGACTAGTGAAAATTATCATTTTAGCTTTCAGAAAAGCTTAAGCCTAAAGTTTGCTGTATTTTTTAGGCCAGTAATTGGGAATATTTACTGTGTGCACTGTAACTGTTCTTGGAGATATATATAAGCAGTGTTTCTGAGAAGAGATACTCTTTTCCCTCTGTTTTAGGATAGAGAAACACATTTTGCTCTCTGTCATTTTATAGTAAGAAACGATAATTTGGGCTCAGTGATTATTTTGTTCACTCATTTTTCTGTCTTTTGTCGCTGCGTGTTCTGCAGACGCACAAATGAAAGGATCAGCCTTTCATTTTTTTTTTTATTCTATATCCCAAGATGTTAATTCGAGATCTTCATATTCCCCTCCCTGGTTTCCACATGAAATGAAATGTTGCTTTGTATCCCATTGTGGGACAATTAGTAACATGCTCTACTTTGAGGTCTCTTCTTCTCACGAGTTTTTGGTGGGGAGGGGAGAGAACCAAGACTCGGTTAAAGAGAGAAGGAGAAGAAAAGAAATTTGTCCTCCTTCACCTGTGAGGTTGTATACTGAAGAAAAGAGAGGAGAAAGAGTTCTGGAGGGTGATTTGTTGAACTCCTGGAGATAAATTTAGGGTTCATTACAAAGCGAGACTCAAAACTGAATTAATTTTTGCTGCTTTACATCTTCAGGAGTTTCTTTAATATCCACAGGGAAATACACTGGAGAACTGGTATCCTGACAAAAATCTGTCAGACAAGTTGCTCTATGAAAGTTCTGGGGGCAGTGAGTGATGCTGAGGTATTGGCAAGGCCTTCAGTTAACTTAAAATATGTTTGTTACACCACACTGGGGTGTCAGCGTGTTTTACTAATCTGTCCAGTTGAACATGCTACGTGTGATGGTGAGGGAAGCAAATTCCCTGGTGTGCTCTTGGAAAGTTCAGCCTTCAGAGGTTTTTCTAGACTAGCTGAGCCTCCTGTCTGCAAAGCTCTCTTGGAATATTCAGCTGCACTGCTAAAGGAGTTTTATGACGAGATAGAAATGTTTTGAATGTAATCAGAGGTAAATCTGAGCTTGTTTATCCCAGTGATGTGGTAATCACCAGGTTGTTCTGACATGGAAAAATATAGCAGGCAACTCTTGGAGGTGAATTGTATTTTGCATGGGAACAACAAAGTGTTGCCACTAGCAGTGATTTGAAGTTACTGAAAGCCATAGGTACAGTAATTATTGTGTTTCTTACTTGATTATCAAACCATTAAAATTAAATTTCATGACAACTCTCATTGATGCGTAAATCACTTCATAATTTATGGTAATAGGTGTTATCCCATTATGTGCCCCAGGATATCTGATTTTGTACAACACACCCTGCCTTGCCTTTGCATTTCTGTTCCGTGCTCGGTGTGTCTGGCACTCGGGAGTTCGTGGGAGATGGATGGTGGGGATGGGCTGAGGAGATCAATCCTCTCCGCTGTCCTTGTGCTACAACACAACTGAGCTGTTCAAGTCTTCTGAGCGTGTGTGTGTGTGACCCCACAGCTGGCTGTGGGTTTAGACATCAGAAATTTCAGGCTGTTTTGGCCTTGGCATGAGGGCCAGAGGGATTGAAGTTTGGGACTGCCCAGGAATAGGATTGGAGGGAGAGCAAACAGGACCTGGGTCGAATGGTGTCGGTCTTGAGGAGCTGGGAAGGATCTGAGGCATCTTCCCCACAGAGAGGATGTCTTCTCCACTTGATGCTGGGAATGGAATTTAAAACTTTTGGAGGGGTTTATTCCTTTGAAAACAGTGATTTAACCCTGAAGTTTCTGGACAGGTGTATCGCTGGTACATATCATGGTAAACGAGGAAATAGTTTTGTGGGTAGTTCAAATGGCAGAGGCTTTTGTTCAAAATATGCAAGTTGTGAGAAGTACTGGGTGTCCTGTGGGAATGCTGATGTGAAAGAACGTGGTGGAATTTTGGCTTTTTAATTTTTTTTTTTTTTTAATTGGCAGTTGCCTAATTAAAAATAAGCGAGAGAAATACTGCAGGAGCAAAGTCAACACTCAAGTTCAGAACTGCCAAACTTCCTTCTGGGTCAGCAGTTCCTGCTTTTTAGCAGGGTTAGGGGGTTAAATGGGCGACTTTGCTTACACATATCCTCTACAGTAAGTTTTGTTGCTTTTTTTTCATTGCAGTCAGCAGAATCATAGGTGCTTTTCTGAGTTTTGCTAAGTGAACTTTTGTGTGTATTGACTTAACCTGGTTTTAATTGGGGTTTTTTTGTTACGTTCTAATGAGATGAGAATAATTAAAGAAACAAATTCTTATTTTAATTTTTATACATCTCATCAC